TGCGATGAAAAAGAGAGCCGCATTTCGTGTGATCTCCGCGCGGGCTCCCTCCTCATTTGTTTGCCCCCCTCCTCCTCCCCCCCGCCCCTCCCGTGAGCCATTCCCCCGGGATTGTTTACATTAGCATGGTTTCGGCTATTTTCGTTAGGCGGCTTTTTTGCCGCGCCATTTTCTTCGGACGGAACGGACCGTCCGACGATTTTCAGGTTCGACTCCGGTTCGCTGAACTTGTTGCGTAAACTATCGACTTCTTCGGGATCCGACCGCGTGAAAAATGTTAAGGAAGAATGACGTATGAGCATTCAGAAGTTGCCATAACTCCTTCAATAAAAATCAAATTCACTGCGGGAAAGGAGCAGCGGCGCCGTTTGGTGGGGTACCCCCCCCCCTTCCCCCTGCGTTTCAAAAGGCTTAGATAAAGTAGAAAAATTGATCGAGTTGCTTAAAACTTGATTTTTTTTCTAACCTTAGGTAACATTTTGGGGCTCATGTCCGGTCAATTGCCCCCCCCCTCCCAAGGTTTAGGTGAAATAACGTTGCTGGAAAGGAGGAGTATTTTCTATCTCTTTTCAGTTCTAAGCACTGATTTTAACATGGGAAAGGCTGATTTTGGTGAAAAATGCGGGTTTTGTGGGTTTGCGATCACTCATGCTGAAAGAGTCGGCCTTCAGACCCATGTTTAAGCCAGTATTAGACCAAAAAAGTGACCGGAAATCACCAAATTATGATGCATTTTGCCAAATATAGACCCTCAATGAGCAGAAAATTGTAGAGTTTGAGGAAATTTAACTAAGGTGGGCACAAAGACGGTCCGCTCTCCGACCTCCTTCCTAGACAAATTTTTTCAAAATTTTTCAGACACTTTTGTTCGCAATTCAATTAAAATATCTAAATATTTCAAGAAAATATATGCATAACTTCCCTCAAAACTACATGCTTGAACCGCGGAATTTGGCAACTCTCAAATGCCCATATGACTTTCTCCCTTAGCACGGCAGAGCACATCCTAGAGACCCCGCGCTAATAGCCCTCCGAAGTGTGAAGTTCCTCCCCCGGATCAACGCTAATCCTCGCTGAATGATGATTGATGTGCGATGTGTGGAACGACATGTTTTAAGTCGTTTTGACAGGGCTAAAATAAAAGAAAATGGGAATACTGGCCGACGGCCGACGCTCATTAGTCTGAAATTAGTTTTTTCTGGGCATGGTACTGTAAAGCCGGTATCAGACGATCAAAGTGGAGCTCTCAAAGTGGCGTCACGTCGATGCTTGGCTGACATAAGGGCGTAACTAAACATTGAGATGAGCCCAGAAAAGCATTGAATTATATGGAGGACAGAGTTCATTGCAGCGTGTAGTTACGCCCTTATGTCAGGTAGGCGACGACGTGACCCTCCATTGGCCCTCTCATTGCCTCATTGCGGTCACGTGACCCCACGTGACTCCACTTTAAGAGCTCCACTTTGATCGTCTGATACCGGCTTTAGAGTCAGTATGATTGAGCAGATAGATGGTGATTCATCACTTTTTATAGGAGAAAATTTTCGGTAGCATATATACTACGGATGATTACGGGGACGCTCACTTTATTTCGTCTTTACATTTTGAAGGAGGCCAGAAAACGTTCTTCGTGCAGCAACTGTTATCTATTCGGGGATGTGTGTATTCGTTCATTTCTCCGTGCATTCACAAGTTCACGACATTTCTGAAGAGGTGAGAAAAGCGGGAACGCCTTCAACTTTTGAACATGCAACACGCACGTTCGTGGAACACGAATAGTTGCATCAAGGCGCACAACCAACTCAGTTTGCAGGTTGAGGAGATAATAACCGAATTTTTAGCATTAGATACTCTGGTTTCGCGTAAGTAACTGGCAACTTCGCCTCTATAAAAGTATTCGGTTTTTTGAGTGCAACAATTATCAAGTCCCGTACATTTCTGAAGAAGTGAGAAAAGTTGGAGCGCCTGCTTCAATTTTGATTTTGATTTGAGGCTTGTTGTCTTCTTCTTATAAACAGATTTTTGTTTTGTGTGCAATTAGGTTAAAGGGGTCTTAAGGTGAAAACTCAAATAGTTCAATACAACAAAAAATTGTTTAAGGGGATAAAAATAACGCTGCTAAACACTTTTAAAACAGTGTAGATTACCATTTTAATTTATAATTTACAATAAAGGGAATTTACAAAACCTGTATCATAATAGTCCTAGGTTTAGGTCTTTAAGTCTTAGTCTTAGGTCTAGTATTGATCAAATTGTAAATATTCTAATTTCTGTGTACAGAAAATGAATGATTTAAAAAAAAAAAAAATGTCGGGTTCCTCTTCGCTTAAGACAATTCCCACGAGTCGTCTGTACAAAACCGAAAGTGGCCGAAAGCGAGAGTAAACGAGGAAATGTAGTGGAGGGTCTTCTGGGAAGAGCAGTTTATACATCACCCATCTCTTTTTTTCTATTTTCTATGTTCTCTCAGTGACAGACGTCTATCTCGATGGCTTAATCGATTTGGCCGGTCGCCAAACCCCGAGCCGTTTATTGACTACGCTTGATGAAATTAGAGGTTTGCCTTCCATTAGCTAGCAATTGAGCATTTCGTCTTCCATCTCTGTCATCCATCCCCTTATCACCATTGCCTCTCGTTTGATCTCCCTACTCTCCAGTAATTTAATTAATTTTATTCATCCATCAGCCGAATTCTTTTCTTTTTGACCCATTTCCCAGTCCTAGTTTAGTTAATTTCATTTTTATACAATATTCTATTAGCCAGGTAGCTTTGTTTTTGATATTTTTCCAGGTTGGCTGCCTTGCTGTTTTTCGTGAGTCTGATATTTATCCGCTGAAGGGCTGTCCCTGATTTAAGACACGATCTTTTCCCCATCTTTGCCTCTTTCTAATGTCGAGCATCCAAGAAGCATCCTCAGACTCAAACCCCGCAGTATACATCAAGTGTATGCCAGTGGCATGGCTTGCTTTTCGATCTATCGATATTTCCCCATTTGAAGCTATGGTCAATAATCGATTATCAAGGTGTTCGCTACGAACACCCTGTTTATCGATACTTTTCCATAGGTTTAAATGACCGATTAATCGATAAATCGCAAAGCACGCCACGCCACTGGTGTATACAGCGCACAGTACGCTGAAGTGCAAAAACTCCATAATGTTAAAAAGGGGGAAACAGGAAAGAACTTTTCCAGATGTTGATGATCCTGACGATTTTATTACCGATAAAATCGCAATATATCGCGATTTTCCGTTGAAAAATGCTACTTGGGTTCAGGTCGTACACCTGAAGTACTGCGGTCCCGAAGTATTTCAGATGTGCGACTCAAACCCTCTGTCATATGCCAGAATACTTTAGATGTTCGACCCGAACTTTGGGCTGGACCACGATCTGGAAACTTCAGAGATCCATGTGATCTCAGCTTCGAGTCCCACGCACGAATTTTTTTTATTCTTGTAAATACTGCTTAAAATGGCACCACACAGAGGTTTTGTGGAAGAAGGGCGTAGGTATCCACCGAAACTTTAACACATTTTATTTCTTGTCAAATTTCTTTGACCTTTCTCGTGCGACCGTGATCTTATCACAGAAGGTATGTTGATTTTTCCGAATAGGGATTGGAAAAATCCTCGAAGAAAAATATTTCCTCAAAATTTGACTTTTGGTGTGTACATCCTTCTTCAATTGGGTAAGCCGTTCATCTCTCATAGACCGTGGTGAACGTGCTGTTAATTACCTGTCATACCTCGTGAGAGAAGCATAGATTAATTGGATTAAATTTTGCAATAATGAGCCACTATTTTTGGCTCTCCCATAAAATCACATATCTGCATAGGGAAACCGATGGCATGTATGGGCCAGAAATATTGGTTCCTTCTTGCAAAATGTAATTCAGTTCAATGACCTGAAACAAGTTGTGATGTAACTAAGCGAGTTCCAAATAAATACAAAACAATAAATTTAATACATGCCCACATTTTTGCATGAGACTGCTCCTTCGTGTAGATGCAGCGTTGGAATTCAATGACGTTCGGCGGCTTGGAGGAGCCATATCCACCTTCCTTAACCTAAAACAGAGAATAATTACTGAGTTACATGTAATTTCAAAGCCGTGCTGAATTGAATCGAGGTGAGGTGCCGATACTAAATTCACAACAAAGCCACCAAAGTTTGTCTTGCAACTTCTGCAAGATTAGGTAGAGCAATAATTGCAACAAAGATCAAAATTATGGAGCAATCATTTGAATCAAGCTTGAAGACAAAGAATCCATGCTTACTTCATTTTAAAAACCTTTACATTTTTAGTACGTGGTAAATATTTGTAAAACCTTTTCCAAGCAATGGCATCGATATGAATCTCAATGAGCCGTAGTTGTGATGAAAGAAACTATACAAAAATTAATAAAAGAGGAAAAAAACTAAGAAGCACGCAATTTTTTGTTTTTAACTTATTTGCACAACGACCTTCTTGAGTCAAATACGTCCAATTTTGAGCGTTTAGTTGCGCTTACGCCACGCTGCAGCACAGTAAAAGCCCAAAGCATAAAATAATAAATTTGAATGCTTTGGAAATCATTAAAGAGCGGAACACAGAGCGGAGCGGCGGGTTAGCAGCGCAGAACGCGCACTGACGCCTACAAACCTAACGGGATACTTCACGCATTGCGCAACGCGTGAAGTATCCCGTTAGGTTTGTAGGCGCGTATGCGCGTGTCACGCTGGTCGCCTGCCGCGCCGCAACGCTTTAAGCAACTATTTCGCGTCAGAGGCGTTGCACAGTATCCTACAAGATTGAAGGAGCACGAAATAACTAGTCAAAGAGGACTTTCAATTATTGTGACTGCATCTGTTACTGAAAAATGTTTAATTTGGCATTGGATCGTTTCCTAGACTCCCGCTTTGGTTTTCATTTTATCATATCCGTACAGTGTAC